AAAAAAAATCCATTTTCATTTTTAAATTTCTCTGGGCTAACTAATTAAAATCAGATAGGTGAGATAACAGACATCTAAAGAACAGCTGAGTCGTTTAGTTATTTTTAGGGATGCACCGATACCACTTTTTTCAGTACTCGCCCGATACGATACTTTTATTTTTGGTACTTGCCGATACCGAGTACCGATACCAATATTTTTATTGCATTTGTACATTTTTTAAATATTGGGTACAGAAACCAAAAGGGTATGTATAATGTTAGTTGGTTAACTTCATTTATCAAATAGATACAGTCAAACCAAAATTTATTCAGACACCTTCAACATTTCTCACATTATCACAGTTTATTCGTTATAGTTTAGAAAATGGTAATAAAATATGACAAGAACTCAGAGTTACACTGTGTCAGAACAAATTCATCTTGATAATGCTAGATAATTTTGATAGAAAGGTATGTAATAGATTACAATCAACCAAAATAATTCAGACAGCTGTTAGTATGACAGTATTTACACAACTATGAATACTTTGTCGGGCAACCCTTAGCCTTAATGACAGCCTGTAGTCTCCTGGGCATGCTGTCACCCAGGTTCATGAAAACCTGAACTTCAGTTTTTTTCCCAGACTCGGTCTGAATAATTTTTGGACCCAAATTTGTATCAATTTTACTGGTAGTCCACTGTATGAAGAATTTTTGGGTATGATTTGTCACAGTTTACTTTATTTTGCTATCCTCACTTACATAAATGAACTATAGTGTCCTGCACCCACTAGTAAAAAAATATCAAAAATTATATCTGGTCTCTGAATCATTTTTGGTTTCACTGTATATCCTTCGGTTATTTTCACACTTAATTATGCCCATTAAAATGTATTTTACAAGTTTTTGTTACTTTTACTGTTCATTTTTTTGCTCTATGGTACATCATCTTTAATTTAATAGCATTAGAGCAGCGGCTTAGTACTGTAATCACGCGCTTTGCTGTAATAATGCAGGGAACCACTCGTTATAAATCTCCTAACTGTGATATTTTCAGAAATAGAAGTCGCGTTTTTTCATCTGAAACGTGCTGCGATTTATATTCCAAAGCCACTCATATAATGCAGAAACACTCAAGCAAGCAAAACACGCGCAACGCCTGCACGTGTTTGTACTGATGCAGAATAGTACAGTCTAGCGCATTTCACACAGGCTGCTAGATTCACTTTCGCTAGAAAGTCGTGTATGCCTAAGGTTGAAAATAAATGATGATTATAGTGAATGCCCCTATGAATGGTTTTATTTGTACGATTTCGTTTTAATTCAAATGATGCGTGCTAAGTGAGTGAACATCAAAGATCACACAACAGAAGTGCGCGCGTGCTCTCTCTCGCTCTCTCTCTCTGTCTCTCTCTCGCTCTCTCCCTACCGTTAAGTAACTTGTGCATTGTTTTACTTACTTGTCTTTGACATATCCGACCGAACTATAAACTTTCCAATGATGTCTGTGAGAACGGTATATTCACTCGGCAAGCTCGCGCATCTGCGCCGCCGCGCGCTCAATCCACTCAGCGTGCTTTGTTAATCAGCTCGCGCTCATCAGCTATACAGGCGTTAATACTGAATGTTTAACGTTATATTCATTGCATACATATACTTCGTAGTAGACATCCATAACTCCTTTCTGCTGTCTGTTGTCAGTGTTTCTTTGTTTGAATATGGCGCTTATCACATGCTGTGTGGTATCGGCGTTTGGTATCGGGGCATTTTAACGAGTACGAGTACAGGAGGCCAGTATCGGGCCCGATACCGATACCAGTATCGGTATCGGTGCATCCCTACCTTGAAGTACTAAAATAACTAAAATTATATAAAATAAAAATACAATAAACACAATAAAATGACTAAATTAATGTGAAAATAAAATATAATAAAAATAAAATCTAATTCAAAATATCAACAAAAACTATACTAGTGTGTCAATAATGCTAAAATAACCCTGTTTTGTCATTTTTAAAGCTTGAAAGCTATGGTCACCGTCCACTTTCATTGTATGGAAAAGAACATCGTCTACTTTCTTCTAGATTGCTCCTTTTTAATTTTGTGCAAAAGAATTATGTGTATTAAATGATGTGGGTAAGTATTTAATGACAGGATTTTAATTTCTAGGTGAACTGTCCATTTCCACATCAATCAGAAAAGCTAAAAAACTAATGAGCAGGTCCTTTTTTTAAAATATCCCAGGAAAATCAGTGCGGTTAACTAATTTTTCAGCTGCACTTATTTGTGGCATTTGGCTGCTCGGTTTAGACTGGCAGACTGGCATAGTGAGTAATACTAATACTTTTCCAGATATTCATATGCAGGGGCGTAATTTCCACTGGGGACAGGGGGGACATGTCCCCCCCACTTTTCAAAATCACGTTTGTGTCCCCCCCACTTTCAAATTCGTTTGTTATGATTTTTTTTAACCGCACGCCATCATCGCCACAGAGGAGCAGGACCGAGCAGGGCACAGGGCGCGTCCGAGTCCAGGAACGTCGCGTGCACACTCTAAAAATAGCTCACTGAAAGTTCTAATGAGCAGGTATCGCGGTGGCGGCACAGTCAGCGATGAAACACCAGAAGAAGACTTTAATGTCATCGTGGATGAAAAGAAAGAAAGAAAAAAAGAAAGAAAGAAAGGAGATATGAGTTAGTTGATTCAGTAAATTAGCTCAGGTCAGAATAATCATATTTTCTGTCTACACCTGTTAATGTTAGCCTACGTTGACTGAGCTAACGTTAACATACACTGTTGCTAGGTTGTACGACTGTTGTTAGCTAAATATTTAATGCAGAACAGTGGTTCCCAAACT